CATTATCATATAAACAATTCAAAATAGGATTGCAACTCATTCGTCAACACTTTAATCATAAATATCATTCATATACTTTCATAACTTGCCATTTTATGGAACTACGTCCGAGGGAACCGGTACTCAAATATAAATAAGATTTCGGGACTTTTACCCTGGACACTTCGGCCAACTTAATTCTCCATGGAGTCCATTCCCTATCTCCTCCCAAACAATGGAGTACATCCCCAATCAATCCAAACGAAGATACATATACAATGTACTTAAACATGTTGTCATATACAATGACCAATCCCATCACGTATACAATGTTTACTTTCAACCTTCATATTCAATGACATGTTCAAATCGATTAGTTTCAATTTACCTAATCAACATGCAGTTTCTACAACAATCATGGCTATCCTCCACCGATAGCCCAAAACAGATATATCTAAACCGATAAATAAATTTCTCAACAGATAATTTATCACATTTTCCATAGGTGAGTGATTCATCAATCCAACTACACCATTTAATCACAATTTTCTCAAATTCCATGATTTTCAAACCAATTTCATGTTTCCGCATCATTTTCATTATTTATGCATCTACAACAATCATGGCTATCCTCCACCGATAGCCCAAAATAGATATATCTAAACCGATAAATAAATTTCTCAACAGATAATTTATCACATTTTCCATAGGTGAGTGATTCATCAATCCAACTACACCATTTAATCACAATTTTCTCAAATTTCATGATTTTCAAACCAATTTCATGTTTCCGCATCATTTTCATTATTTATGCCAATAACCTTTATAATTCAAATTAGGGCATTTTTCCCCATTTTCTCAAATAGTGCACCCAAGGCCAAATCTCACAATTTCAACAATTATACACCATTAACCCCATTTTTTAGGTCTAACATACACATATGGAGCCCAAACAAGAAACCCCTATTTCACAATTCCAAACTCAAACCCTAACTTTACCCAAACCAATCATTTATACAAAATGACCAACATCTATGTCAAAACTCATGTAGGACAGTAGAATATCCCTACCTCAAGAAGAGAAGACAAGCCAAGCAAGAGATGGGCTTCAAAGATGACGAAACCAACTTCCATTCGGATGAAAATGAAGATATTGAAGAGCTCAAACTTTTTGTCAAAGGAAGGAGGGTGAGGAGATCACTAGATCTAGGTCAAAATGTAGAGAGAGAGGGTATTTTAGAGAGAGAAGCTCTCAACATAGGGTTTTGGAAAGTTTTAGAGAGAGAAATGACAGAAAAAGTGATTTAAAATGTCACATACGTGATTTGATATACGTACAGTCCGCTCGAGCGGAGAGTTTGATGCTCGAGCGTTAGACACAATAATTTGACCCGCTCGAGCGCAACAAAGGCCGCTTGAGCTCTAAGACACAAAAGCAAGACACTACTTGCTTGAGCGCAATGAGGCTCGCTTGAGCGTAGAATACACTCGTCCAGTATTTTACAGATTTCAAACAGTCGCTCGAGCGCAAGAAGGGCCGCTTGAGCTCAGACCCGCTTGAGCGTAATAAACATCGCACGAGCGTAAAAAACACTTCTGTAGTATCTCTTGCAGACGCACAAGGTACTGAAAGATTGCAAACCCCGTTTGAGTGCAAGAAGGCCCGCTCGAGCGGAAGATCAAAATTCTGGACATCAAGGTTCTAGACCAACAATCAACCAACCTGTTCTGAACACGCCCAAGACAGTCAAAAACCCAAATTCAAAGGGCAAAAAGAGGAAAAGACATAACAGCAACATTAAACCACAAGACCTAAGTCCGAAACACCATAAAGGTCGAGTTAGAAACTGGGATCGCTATATTGTCTCAGTGCCGTCATTCCGAGTATTGTCGGTACCATTGCCATTCCAAGTATCGTCGGTTCCGCCGCCACCTAGAGTTGCTGAGGGAAGGAGAGAACTGAAGCAACTAAGTTGCAGAGGCATTACTTGTAGCGCCCAAGTTCTAAAGGCACTTTGTTAACGCCATCTCCAATATTGTCGGTTTTGCCATATTGAACTTGCCACAGGAAAAGATTGCCGTAACAACTATAGTCGCCGCAACCAACTTGCGGAGGGAACATCCCACCAAGGAGATAGCAGTCTTTGGGAAAAGCTTCCCTTTTGCAAGTAGAGGCTAATGCTTGGCATTGATAATAGGCCCCAAGGCATTACTAGCTTAGGGTTGATACCAAGTCCCAAAGTTCATTAACTTGGCGCTGATAGCAGGCCACAAACTTACTGGTTAGAGCTGATAGTAGGCTCAAAGATACCAGTTTACCACGGAGATCCCGTGAAGATGGGAGCAAGGTAGCCCAAGTATAAGGGACTCCCTTTCTATTTACCCAGGTCATGGACCTGCCTTAGTTGCACAGACAGGACTAAGGAAGCCCTCTTGGGCTTGGTATTAAGGCACAACATGGCTGATAGTAGGTTGGGCTATGGCCTTCGCCTTGGAAAGTTGGGGAGTTTGTGGTTAGCTGGCTAAGGGTGGAGGCTATGCTGAGGTGAACACGAACATGGCTGATAGTAAGCTATGGAGTCCTGAGAATGAATGTATTGGCTAAATAAAACTGAGAAGGCAAGTGCAGCAGTAAGGTTTATCGTTGCAAGTGCACTTGTTAAGGTTCGAGTTGAAAAGGTAAGTGCAGCAGCAAACACTCCCGCCGCAACTGCACTTGCTGAGGCTCAAGAGGGAGCTGCAGCGCCAAACACTCCCGTTGCAACTACACTTGCTGAGGCTCCAAAAGGTAGTTGCGGAGGCAAACAGATAGTACACAGTATATGCAGATGGACATGTGGCACCTTCAACCTGGTGGCTCAAGGCAGAATATTTCATGTGATCCTCTGGAACACATGTCCTCTCTCTATTCGACAACTTGGTGTCCTCTTGGTACTAAGGAAAAGCCTATAAATAGGACCTATTTTGCAAGGTTCAAGGAGAGAAATTTTAGGGATTTGGGGGAGATGCTGCCCATTTTGGCATTGCTATACATTTCTTCCTGAGCCACTTGTTTCACCCTCACCCAGCTACTCACAACTTCCTAGACAGTTGCTGCTGCTCATTCTCCAGTCATTCCACCATTATTGGACCATTAGCATAGTTTTGCCTCTCTAATCACCTTTCTAACCTTGAACCCCTTTACAGGGAGAAAGAGAGAGAGGATCGAGGGTTTCAGAGAGTGAATTTGAGGACGACCAAGACAATGTAAAAAGACTCTTGTTTTGTTGTGTAGATGATATGATGATTTGCAGAAAAAGGGTCCTAAACCCAACAGTAGCTCGCTAAAGTTCCATGTAATTTGCAAAGCTCTATCCTATCTACAAACTTCTTCAACCCATTTCTAATTGTACATTTTCTAACTATTTTATGTTAAATTCTGTAGCATTCTACTGTATTCAATTGAAATTTGAAACATTCTACTACGTTTACATTTTTTGTTTTTTTTGTAAATATTGTTGATACTTTGCTTTGAATGACTCTGAATTCTAATTCATAAGGTCACTTTCACGTCATAGATTTAAGCTCTGAATTTGATTATTTGCGCACATATTTCAAGTCGAACCAGGAGAAAAGATAGATTTTGGGAATTTTTTGTGGGTTTGAGTTTTTAAGAAAAAAAAAAAGGCAAAATTGTGTCTTTGGTAGAGATTGGGTCACTACGCCAAAACAGGGCATTAACGGCCGTTTTTTTAACGGCGGTAACGAAAACCGTCGTTAAAGGTATCATTAACGGCGGTTTTGTTACCGCCGTTAAAAAAACCGCCGTTAATGCCCACTTTTAACGGCGGTAACAAAACCGCCGCTAATGTCCAATCATTACCGCCGTTAATGACGGCGGTCTTTGCCGGCGAAACTCCGGCGAAACTCCAGCGTGCTCCGGCGAAACTTCGGCGAGCTCCGGCGAAACCATCTACAATAAAGTAAAAATAATGTTTAAATATTTATTTAGGGAATATATTTCATAAAGAGTAACTATGGTAGAGTGGTTAGTGTGGGTAGATGAGAGGTTGAGGGTTCAAGACTTGGGAAGTGCAAGAAGAAAGAATTATTTTTTGAAAAATTTGAACCTATTTACGGCGGTAAAAAACTGCCACTTTTAACGACGATAATTTATCTTTTTACGACGGTTGTACTTTTTCCGACACACGTATAAACGGCGGTAACAAAACCGCCGTTAAAGACTTTAACGGCGGTTTTACAGCCTTTAACGGCGGTAAAAAACCGCCGCTAAGGCCCAATCTTGGCGTAGTGGGTTCAGGTGAAGTGGTGGTGACTTTAATGGTGAAGTCAAAATGGATGGAATTTAGAGAGGAGTAGTGTAACAAGATAAAAATGGACATTCAAGGAAAAGTTGTTGGTGAAGTGCCAACTTCTGTCAGGTTCATAGACAAATGACTAAAATATTTTAGAGAGGATAGTGATATTTTAGAGAATATTAAGGGATGACAGTGTTATTTCAGAATAATTTAAGGGATGCAAGTGTAATTTACTTTTAAGAACAAAGAAAGAAGAGAAGAAAACCTAGGAAGCCACACAGCACAACACACCCAAAGCTCTCCTTCTTGGCTACAACAATAATCTTGATGATTGAAAAACCCCTCTCTTTTCTTCATAAACCCACGGCTGCTAGGGTTGCTAGTGTTGTGGAAAACAATTATAACAAGAGTTAGGGTTTGTGTTTATTTTATTTTATACTAGTTGTGGGCACACTTAGGTCAAATAGATAGATAAATATACAAAATACATATATAAGTTACATGCAATTCAAATGGTAAGAGTCTAACTTATTAATTTTGTGGTCTAGAGTTCAAGTCACACCCTCTTCTCTACTTTTCTTTTTTAATAATAAATCTTGCTTTTCAATCAATGACTTTCACCATAAATAATTTGCACTTAAAGATTCATAATAAAATATTTGAGATTTGTAAAATTATTATTTAATTATTTACTTAATTTTTATATTCGGGTTCTCACAACCACACAATCTAAACAAAATCATTACACAAAATGAAATTGATTACACAAAATTATTTTCCAAACTCAAACCAAAACCCAATCCCAAATACCAAAATATCTTAGTTTTTCGATAGTAATACATTCACTAGTTTGTCCAAATTCAAAGTGGATGACCCATCTGGTCCAGTAGCCTTTTCTGCTAAATTCTTCCACTCCATAGCCTTGTTCTTCATTTTCTTCCCCTTCTCTCCTTCCATGAACTCTCTAATCAGCTTCTCTACTTCATCTCTTTTCACATTATTATCAATCTCCATGCCAACCTCCCATTCAGTGCAAGTATACCTACAATTTGTCACCTGATCTGCAAAAAATGGCCAACACATCATGGGCACCCCCGCCGTCAAGCTCTCAATAGTTGAGTTCCATCCACTGTGTGTTAAGAACACTCCAACTGATGGGTGGTTCAGGACTTCCTCTTGCGGGCACCACCCTGCTATCAGTCCCGTTTCTTTAGTGTCTGCCTTGAATTCCGGAGGTAAAATGGCCGAGTCTCCGATTACCAGATCAGGCCTAATTACCCACAAGAAGTAGTGCTTGCTATTGGCAAGTCCCCAAGCAAACTCTACCAAGTGTTGCAGTGACATGACTGTTACACTTCCAAAATTGACATAAATAACGGAGCTAGGTTCTTTGGAATCAAGCCATTGGAGACACTTTGGTTCTTCTTTCCACAAATTGTATCCAAGACGCTCCAAGTCTGGTGATACTTGTTGGTTTAGAAGTAACTGTAAAGGACCAATGGTGTAAACATTTTGAAACATAGATGAGAGAGCATCCAAAAGATCTTGTTCCAACGCATTGAAAGTATGAAGACCAATTGCTGAAGCTTGAGAAGCACTCTCTGCCGATTCCATGGCTAAGTTAAATATTTCATCATTTGGATTAGTAGTTTGGAAACATGTTGGAAGGTCCTTTAGACGAATATCTTTCATTCCTGGAATCCAGTCTATTATGGTGTCTAAGTACCCGTTTGTTAGATAGCTTTCATCTGCATATCATAAACAGTAAACAAAAATATAAATAGGAGATTTATTTATTTTTGTGGTTATAAGAATTTAATAAATTTTGTAAACGGTTTATAAATTATTTAATACAAAAATAAATACCAACAAGTTTTTAATGACAATATTAAAAATTTTGTAAATTTAAACATATATATATATATATATATATTTTTTTGGGGTACATGTAAACGTTGCCAAACAGGCATTTCATGTTTTGCTTTCAAAAAGATGAAGAAAAAAAAAGGGTAGTAAAAACCAAACAGGCCTGCTTTTCATTTTTCATATTTTCTCATTTTCTTCTTTGCTATACACACACAGACATGTATAATAATTGGATAGATTATATTTGTTAATGTACACTAAACCTAACCCACTAACCTAACCCACTACACCCACTCAACTCCACTAAACCTAACCCACTCTACCTACCACCTCCACTTCACCCCCTACCAGCACCACCACAATCTGCTACCTTCTCTTCTATATATAGGAGTTGTAATCAATATACACAAATCAATCTTGTAATATACACAACAATCTTGTAATAAATCAATCAATAATACATTGAATTTTGACAATATTGACCCCCCCTAAATTTGAAAAAATACAGTAAGTTTTATAAATTTTATAATTACATTGACCTCTTTAAGTTTTAATTCACATAAATTTAGCCATTTTCATCAGTTATTTGTTGGTGATGTGAACGGAAAAATGATATTTTCATTTCTTTTATACTAAGATGTATATAACTTACCTTGTTTGTTTTTGTGTCTTCACACTATTTGTATTAGTTGTGGTCCCTTTAGCTTTACTAAAAGGGAAGTTGGTGTAATTAGCCAAAACTAAGAGCTTGTTGTCAAGAAGGTGTTGGGTCACATCATGTGAGAAACTTATGTCTGTTTTGTGATTGATTTGTGTTACTAATCTTTTTCATATAATTAACTTATATACATAAACATACCTTTGAGTGGTGCAAGACCTTTGTCCAAGAGAGCACGAAACTGATAAAAGCCCATGAAGCTACAAGCAGAAAAAGTCCAGAACACAGCAACGGGGATTTGGAGTTCATAAGCTGCTGTAATGGTGAATGGCATTACACCATCAGAGACAATGCAAGTGACAGCTGGTGTGGTGGCATTGTAGTTGTCCTCGTTGAGTTGGGCAAGGAGGTTGCGAAATGGTGCCAAGAAGTTCGTTCTGACTGATCCACAGAGAGCAATTGCGTCTTGGGTGGCGTTGGGGTCGGATGGTGGGAGGCTATCTGGGATTGTTTTGAATTGGAAGTTGGGGAAATCATAGAGAGAGTCAGGTCCTCTGGCTTTGATAAGGCGGTTTTGGTTGAAGTCTGTGTTGACAAAGGTGATGTAAAAACCCCTATGGTGGAGGAGCTTTGCTAGTTTGAGCATTCCTTTTATGTGGCTTTGTGCTGGGAATGGTATGCATACTGCATGAGGCTTGTTGTCACTTGCCATTGCTTTGCACACTTCTAGATCCCTCAGTCTCTTCTCTTCTGTGCTCTTGTTATGGTTGTGCACTGCAAAACAATGGAGAGACAGAGAGAGAGTAGATTACTAGTTAATATTCAGTGTGTTTGGTTTGAGTTTCTAAATTAAATTTTTTGAAAATTGAATTTTTTGGTTTTCGTATTCTTTTGTTTTTAGTGAATATTTTTTAAATTTTAAATATTTTTTTTACTTTTTTAGATGTACCTTAGTTAGATGTATCTAAAAAATAAAAAATTTGTGAAAAAATATTTTAAAAAATTAATAAATACATAAAAATACAAAAAATGTACTGAATTCTTGTATTTTTTTTGTATTTTTGATATTTAGTGAATTTTTAAAAGATTTTTTTTATAATTTTTTACTTTTTATGTGTATTTATATTAGGTGTGTCTAAAAAGTAAAAAAATTGTTTAAAATATTAAAAAAATTCAGTAAAAACAAAAAAACACGAAAAATAAGAAAGTAAAATTTTCTGAAAAATGAAATCAAGAAAGCTGATTGGTATTCATTGGATTAGATTAATATCAGTGGATCATTTGCCAGTCATTCATTGAATAATAAATTAAAAGTGACGGAGATACCCAATTTAAATAACAAAAAATCCAATATTTTAAAATTATATCTAGACAAGCCTTTCTTTGTTGGACCAACTGGCGATTTTTTCTGTACTCCCAATACATCTTGCATGCATATAGTATCATAAAATGAAAGATTATGTCCAATTTGATCGATCTGAATGGATCCCTCGTTACTGCCCAATCACTTTCATCTTGCTTATCACGCCCACAATATTTTATCAAATAATTCTATAGTGTTCATTAATTAAAATAACAAAAGAAATCACAACATATCTAATTATTTGCATTAAAAAAAATAAAAATTAGAAATACAAAGTAAATTCAGAAGTCTGTGGTTTCGAAAAAACGAAATAGAAAAGTCAGGATATATCAAATCAATGGTTTATTTATACTTGTTGTCTTCTTTGTAATAAGTAAATTCACAAACAATATTGATTCAACGCTGTAAATTTGCACTATTAATGACAACTCTAACAAATAGATGCCAAACTATCACATCAGTAATAGGATCTATGTCGGCGCCACGTCATTAGTGATGTATTAGTGGTTTGAAACATTTTTTATTCAGAAAAGTCTGATTTTGAATAAATGAAATAAAAGTCTTCAGAATATATCAAATCAATGATTTATTTATACTTCTTGTCTATTCTTTTAATAAGTAATAAAATACATCCTATAATTATGATGATAAAATCAATTTTAATTTTTTCACAAATAATCTAGACAATACCCTATAAAATAAATTGTTCAAATCCTAAGATGATGACAGCCCACGATCTCTAACAACACTATTCTGTCCACTAGACTTTGCGATTTAACCCATTAAGCCCTCATGCATTCTACTTTTATGATCCGAACTATTCGTGCTCAAATCAATTTTTACTTTTTTATACACAGAAGTCAATGAAATAAACGGCAACTTCTGGACTAGTATGGACTGGATAGAAACTTCTGTCTCTCTATATTAGGCTTACATGGTCTGAAGAAGAATTGTGATAGTGGAGAGCGACATGTACTATAACCCATCGAAAAGTCAGAAGTAGGGCAAGAGGAAAACAAAAGCAAGTCGTGACGGTTAGGAGCATGCTGTGTGAATTACGAAAAGTCAAATAAGAGGAGTATGACATTGAAAATTAATGGGGTATTTTGAAAAAAGAAAAAAGAAAAAAAGAAGTAGAAAACACTTGAATGTTGTCACTCTTTTATGAGTACAGAGATAATAAAAGATTGATCTATATATTTATAATAATTTAATAAAAGATTGATTGATGTACATGTTATGGTTGGCAATTACATCCACCAATACTTAAATTCCGTAAGGCAAAACTCCATTATGACATGAATAAGGTTGATTTGTATTTGTTTTTGACATGAATGAGGGGTCCAGAGTCATCTTCATTTGCCGGCCCGTTTGTCGTCTCTCTCTCTCTCTCGTCATCGTCTAGTAAGAGTTGAAGGAGAGACAATCAAATTGAATGCAGTCACTACGATACAGACATTTTTTTAGAAATTTTATGACGCTATTCATTGAACAATACGAAAAGAAAAATGTTAGGGACTTAAATATGGGTGTCGAACACACGTCTTATGTGGATCTCACATCCATGTAAGACATTTGGTAAAATATTTGAGATTTTTAACATTACTCCTACAAACACAAAAATAGTGCACACAATGGATAATAAACATCCCACCATTTGTGTCTTGTCTGTGCACTTGGTTTTCTCTTTCTTAAATGCTATCATTCTATTTTATTTCACCTCATTCTAATTAACAAAACACTACCTTAATTTCTCTGCAACTTCATCACCACTTTTATGGTTTTTGAATTTTTTTTCCAGTTAATCTAGTTTCCATTCCATCCCATTTTCTTGTTATCTATAATGTGTGTTTTTTTTTTTAATCGTCAATTTCATTCCAATTTAAATTACAGCTATTACATCTCAAGGTGTATATATAATGGAGATTTATGGTATATGAGAAACTTGTGAAGTCCTTGCATATATCAAAAGCAAAAAAGAATAAATGTTTATTACTTGAAGCACACAATCTAAACAAAATCATTGCACAAAATGAAACTTATTACACAAAATTATTTTCCAAACTCAAACCAAAACCCAATCCTAAATACCAAAACAATCCTATCTAAAATATCTTAGTTTCTCGATAATAATACATTCACTAGTTTGTCCAAATTCAAAGTGGATGACCCATCTGGTCCAGTGGCCTTTTCTGCTAAATTCTTCCACTCCATAGCCTTGTTCTTCATTTTCTTCCCCTTCTCTCCTTCCATGAACTCTCTAATCAGCTTCTTGACTTCATCTCTTTTTACATTATTATCAATCTCCATGCCAACCTCCCATTCGGTGCAAGTGTACCTACAGTTTGTCACCTGATCCACAAAAAATGGCCAACACATCATGGGCACCCCCGCTGTCAAGCTCTCGATAGTTGAGTTCCACCCGCAATGTGTTAAGAACACTCCAACTGATGGGTGGTTCAGGACTTCCTCTTGCGGGCACCACCCTGCTATCAATCCCCTTTCTTTAGTGTCTGCCTCGAATTCCGGTGCCAGAATAACCGACTCTCCAATCACCAAATCAGGCCTAATTACCCACAGGAAGTAATGGTTGCTATTGGCCAGTCCCCAAGCAAACTCTATCAAGTGTTGCAGGGGCATGACTGTTACACTTCCAAAATTGACATAAATAACAGAGCTAGGTTCTTTGGAATCAAGCCATTGGAGACACTCTGGTTCTTCTTTCCACAAATTGTATCCAAGAGGCTCCAAGTCTGGTGATACTTGTTGGTTTAGAAGTAACTGTAAAGGACCAATGGTGTAAATATGGGGAAACATATATGAGAGAGCATCCAAAAGATCTTGTTCCAATGCATTGAAAGTATGAAGACCAAATGCTGAAGCTTGAGAAGCACTCTCTGCTGATTCCATGGCTAAGTTAAACATTTCATCATTTGGATCAGTGGTTTGGAAACATGTTGGAAGGTCTTTTAGACGAATATCTTTCATTCCTGGAATCCAGTCTATTATGGTGTCTAAGTACCCGTTTGTTAGATAGCTTTCATCTGGATATCATAAACAGTAAACAAAAAATATAAATAGGAGATTTTTTTTTTTTTGGGTTATAAGGATTTAATTAATTTCGTAAACTATGTATAAATTTTTGAAAAAAAAAATAAATACCAAACAAGTTTGTAATGACAATACTAAAATTTTTGTAAACAAACAAACAAACAAAAAAAAACAAAAACAAATTGTACATGTAAACGTTGCCAAATAGGTATTTCATGTTTTTCTTTAAAAAAGATGAAGAAAAGAAAGGATGCTAAAAGCCAAACAAGCTTGCTTTTCCTTTTTCTTGTTCTCTCTTTTTCTTTGCTATACACACGAGTTCGGATTTGTTAAAGATGAAGATCTCAACTTCACAAGTAAAGTTTGCCTACTATGGAATTAATATGTACTCATGTCAATGATCTGACTAGTTCATCTCATATGATAAACAGAGAAGAACATGCATGCAAAAAATTAGTTGATCAAGCATGAGTGAGACATGATCAAATCATATATATACATATATATGAGAGAGAGATTTGTGCTAAATGATGGCCGAACAAAACCAACATGGCAGTTGTGTTGGGCCGGACTAAACCAACACGGAGTACAGTGTTGGTCCAAGCTAAACCAAGCTAGCACGGAATATGGTGTTGGGCTAAGTCTAACTGAACCATCATGAGGCGTAGTGTTTGACCGAGCTATCTGTGGTGGCGCGACTATATGCGTCATGGTAGGTTCCTAGATTGACCGAGCTAGCAGTGGTTAGGTCGAACGAGGAAAGCAAACAGACCGCGTTAAGGCCGCGGTATAAAGTCTGACCTGAGAGCCGGTATGCCTTAGTTCGTCATTTGTATCTCCAAAGTCAATACCTTTGGTGCAACCTAAGTAATAGCACGATTAGATATACCACGTGGACCAATGACAAAAGGCGAGGAATTCGCTCTTGGCATGTGTCAATACCATTTGGTGGTCTAGCCAATATTGTTTGGTAGTATTGACATGTACACGTGTGAGGAATGGAGAGGGTAGTACAACCATACGTCTAGCAAAGGACAATAGGGGTAGTGTGCGTTCAATCTGGGGCTACATAGTTAGCCTAAAAAAGGAGACGCGAGCAGACTCTGAGGGGTAAGAAAACTTTGGCTATTCTTTCTCTACATTCCTTCTTCTTTCTCAAGTGAACTAACTTGATTGTCAGAGGGGTTTTTCGGCAAACCACCCGCTGGATAGCTCACCGTTGTTCTGTTTGCAATCGGAGAGACACAATCGGAGTGAGGCAAGCTTGGTCGCGAGGTGTACGGGCGACAGCGAATATTTACTCCTCGCACAATTGGCGCCGTCTGTGGGAATCTTAAATAGACAAAACCTTGTTCTCCAAGCTTTTCTGATCACTTTTCATGGCGAACA